GATCACCTTCAGTTCTAAAATTCTAGGACTGTTCCATGTAAAATCTTGATCACAAATCCTGACACAAAAAACTTGTCACATTAATGTTTTTTTGTGTGTCCATGCTTTATTTTGCATTTTTTAGCAAAAGGCTGGACTCTGGATTTCAGTCACAGAATTCGATGAGAAGCAACGCTGAGATGAAGCATCCACTTGGGAGCCAGAGTGCCTGGGTTCAAATCGTGGGCCCTTTAACCTCTATGTTTTGTTGTCTTCATCTTTAGATGGACATGATAGGATACGTATCATAGGATCATCATATGGGTTAATATCTATAAAGCATTTAGGCTGGGGCCTAGCATACAGTAAGTGCTATGTTAGTAATGCTTACATACATAAGTAAATAAGGCAGATTCCTTAAGTTTCTACTGAACTTAAAGACACATAAATATCTTCGAAGCAAATACCACCTCGATGACTACCCACTCTGAATGTTGTATATTGCTTAATATGCTCTATTTTAAGATAATTTTCTTTAACAATGGTCAGCAGTTCAGTATATGTTCTTATTTTAGAAAAACTGGGAGTTTTGTAGCTAAGTTGTGATAGCAAATTGGGATTTACTATGCTAGTATTAAAAATAAACAGAAAAATGCTTTCATAATTTTCCTGCTTAGCAAAAATTATCAGGAAAGACAAATTATCAAGGAAGCTATACTTCACTTCCAGAAAGGGATATCAAATAATCTTACTATAGTTCAGTATTGATAAGAAATCACCGGTGGGTTGGAGGAGGGCTGGGGAGGGCAAAGAAGATGCCTACTTCCCACATACCCAATGCCACACTTCACGGTAGTATATATACTTTCCCTCATACTAAGAACTAGCTCTATTAAGGTATCTAGAGAAGGAAAAAATAACATTAAGGATTTTAAAACTACAGATGCACAGAGTATAAGCAATATTAAATGACAAGATCTCCTCATCCCCCAAGTTAAATATCTACTTAAAGCCCCAAAGAGAAAATTTACATCCTCAAGATTAACAGTTGAAACAGATGGCAAATGAGAAAAGTGAATCCTTATTTTTCGGAAGATAAATTCTGCATGCTGCTGGTGCCAGATTATAAAGGGCACATACAGATGCGACACGGGGAAAAAGAAAAGAATGGACAAGGGAAGCACCGAGCCGAGCGTGTGGAAACCTGAAGGCAGGAGCTAAAGCAAGGGGTGATCGGGGGCGGCATAATCAGGGTGCTTAAGGCAAATGACGATCTACCAAGGTACAATTTAGATTTCTCAATGGGGCGCCTGGGTGGCTCCAACAGTTAAGCATCTGACTTTGGTTCAAGTCATGATATCGGGGTCCTGGGATCGAGCCCTGCATTGGGCTCCCTGCTCAGCGGGGAGTCTGCTTCTCCCTCTCCCTCTACTCATGTTCTCGTTTTCTCTCTCTCTCTCCCCTCCCTCTCACATAAATAAATAAAATCTTTAAATAAAAAAAAAATAGATTCCCCAAATTTCTGAGGCTTCTACGTGAATCCTGCCTCACTGAAAACTGTGGAAGAACTTGCAAAGCTTTGAAACTTGACATTTCAGGACCAAGACTAGCCCTGTCAAATCTAATGACTGGTTGTTTCCTAACTGCGGCTTCTTTAATTTTACATCATGACTTTTTTTTTTTAAGATTTTATTTGAGAGCAAGAGAGCACAAGCCAGGGGTCGGGGCAGAGGACAGAGGGAGCAGCAGACTCCCCGCTGAGCATGGAGCATGACACAGGGCTTGATCCCAGGACCCTGAGATCCCGACCTGAGCAGAAGGCAGATGCTCCACCAACAACCACCCAGGTGTCCCTACATCATGACTTCTAAATTCTTATGTGAAATCCAAATCCACAAAATCTTCATGATTACTAAATGCAAGTGGCAAAACCAGGCTTTCTCTAAAATCATGTAGTAGAAATAGGGTACTTCAATGGTCAGGTGGCATATTTATTACCTCAGATTTTTCTTTTCAAAGAACAAAAATTCAAGACCAAATATATTGCTTGCTTACTTCATAAAGATTAGGGACCTCAGTAGCCTTTCTAATGCTGAAAATAGATTAATTCTTCCATTTTGCAGACACTGGGTAGTTGCTATCTTGAAGATGCTGCGCCAGGTGTGGGCAGTGCAGAAGGGGAGCACGAGCTAAGCCTATGGACATCAGTCCTCAACAGAGGTAAAAGCCAATGTGCCCTGGAATCCAGAGGACGTGCTTAATGCTGAACATCAGGATAAAAGATGGTCTCTTGAAAGAAATGGTATCTCAGGCACGCCTGGGTGGCTCAGTAGGTTAAGCATCTGCCTTCGGCTCAGGTCATGATCCCTGGGTCCTGGGACTGAGCCCCATATTGGGCTCCCTGCTCAGTGAGGACCCTGCTTTTCCCTCTGCCCCTCCCTCTGCCTATGTTTTCGCTGTAATAAATAAATAAATAATCTAAAAAAAAAAAAGGAGTGGTATCTGAGCTGGAGCTTCATGTGGAGTGACAGGTCAACAGAAAGACAAAGAGAATGGGAAGGGCAGGAGACAATGAGGGAAAACACAGAAGCACACAATACAGATGTTCCTCGACTTACGACAGTTAGCTCCTAATAAATCCATTGTTTTTTTGTTGTTTTTTTTTTAAAGATTTTATTTTATTTATTTATTTGAGAGAGAGAGAGCACAAGAGTGGGTAGGGTCAGAGGGAGAAGCAGACTCCACACTGAGCAGAGAGCCCGATGCGGGACTCAATCCCGGGACTCCGGGACCATGACCCAAGCCAAACACAGTTGCCTAACCAACTGAGCCACCCAGGCGCACCCAATAAACCCACTGTTAATTTGTAAATCTCATAAGCTGAAAATGCATTTAATACACCTAACCTACTGAACATCAGAGCTCAGCCCAGCCTACCTTAAATGTGCTCAGAACACTTACAGTATTGTACAGTTGGGCAAAATCATCTAACACAAAACCTATTTCACAATAAAGTATCTGATATCTCATCTAATTTACTAAACACTGCACTGAAAGCAAGAAACAGGATGGTTTAAGTGTGTTGGTTGTTGATCCTCATGACTGCGTGGCTGCCTGGGAGCTGCGCTCGCTGCCCCTGCCCAGCATCACGAGAGAGGATCCTACTGCAGATCACTAGCCCGGGAAAAGATCCACAGTCAAAATTTGAAGTACGGTTTTTACTGAATGCATATCACTTTTACACCATTGTAAAAAGTAAAAAAACCGTAAGTGGAACCAATGTGAAGCCAGGGATCTTCTGTACAAGGTGTGTTAGGGAAGATCAAGTGCTACTGTCTGGCCGGGAACCATAGTGGTATGGGGGAAAGTTTCACAGTAGAAAGTTTTACAGTGGAGAACCACCGAGGACCAGAGCATCAAGGGCCTCACAGGCTGCGCAAGGAAGACTGGATGTTCCTCTATGAGCGATGAGAAGCCACAAAAGATTTAGGAAAGCAGCAGAGTTCTGGGCAGATGGGACAGCCAAGGGTTGCAATGAAGAAGGACAGGTGGAGCCGGGGAGACCAGGTGGGGAGAGCCTGCTATCCTGGACAAAAGATGACGACAAAAGTCTGGACTGGTGATGGTTGAAGGTAATGGGGTATTCAGGAAACAGAACTGGAAAGCCATGGAAATGAAGTAAGAGAGGGAGGGAAAACCGAACATGACTTTAATCACAATCAGTATAAAACTTGTTGAATTAAACTAAATTGGTATTTCTAGACAGATGATGACATCAGAATAATGGAAGGAAACGAATCTTGATTTCGAACCTGATGAAGGAGAAAGTGTAGAGAAGGGAAAAGTAGAGGCTCTGGAGTCCGAGAAATGTAACCTTCAAGATTCATCCCACTGTTAGTTTCCTTCCCTGTAAACCCAGGCTAGCGATACCCGCCTCACGGCACTGGTAACAAACAGGAAAGTGCCCACGTTCCCAGTTCAGACAAGATAGCCAATGATCAGCAGCCCACTAGGAGCTCACGGGCGGTTACTAAACGGAGCTGAGGTGCAAGCACAGTAGTTTCCATCACCTTGAGATGGTTCCTCCTGTGACTTCTCGAAGAAGGCGGCAGTGGTGAGGAACAAACCCCAGGAGCTTATCATACATGATCTGAAGGCCGTTCGGATGAGACTCGACAATCTGCTCTACGATCACCTATTGGAAGGAAGAGCATTTTTTTTAAAGCACCTAAAAGAGAAGTATGAACTGTACACTACAGAAAAAAGAATAAAGAAAACCTTACAAATACGCGTCCTCATTCCTCCTCCCCACCTGACATGCTTTCTATACAGGGGGTAACAGCTGCACTAAAATCTAGGTCCTGGGAGCAGGGGACACAGTTCTGACCCTGGGGGACACAAAGGCTGGGTGACAGAGACTGGCCTGAAGCTGAAATATCACACACAATCTGCTTCCCTTCTGAGCTTGAAAGCAAAACACTGTGTCCCCAGACAACAGCTGTGTATCGTCTTCACCTTGGCCTTGTCATCTACCATCTCCAGATTAGGGAAAGGGTTGAGACAGAGAGTGATGGAAGAAAACACATTTTATTTTGCTTTAGTGTTTTATTTTTTGTGGTAAGGTTGAGTTTCAGGAGGTGAATGACAAGCATACAAACTTAAAATACAAACGTGGCCATGGTTCATTTAACATGCCACTGAAACTTAAACTACTTCCCTAATTTAGCACATTCGATTCAGTTCAATGAAAAAGGCATAAGTTAGTAACTAAAATATTTTCACTTAGTGATAAAGAATAACATAATCTTTTTCACCCCCCTAGAGATGGCTATGAAATATAATAGGATACACACAAAGAATTGACAGATCATTTATTTTTAGTAATCCTAATGAAGCTGAGAGGATTACTGAAATTAATCCTTCAATTTCACTTTCATCAATGGGATTCACTGTCCCGTTTTAAAACTAGAAGCCTTTCATCCTGAAGTCATGGTGGGTAGCTTTGTACTCACTGGACGGAAAGAACACTCCCACTGGCAAGTGACTGGAAGAAAGTCCTCAAACACTGAGGACTGGCTTCATGACTTCTATCAGCTTGAACCAGATGAAACTGACACTCTCTAAGTTGGAAATTGTGGAGTGCTGGCCACTCCATACGGAGCAACCTATACTCTGGCTGCTCAGGGGCAGGATATCCTTACTCCCTGTATTTACCTATATCCTCATAGGTCAAGGACAATGGGTAACCAAGTTCTGTCCTTAAGGTACTACCCTGCTAACTTGCCCATAAAAGCCCTTTATCTTTGAATATTCCCTCCCTCCCACCCTCCTGGCCTGGCAAACTCCTCCACAGTTTTCAAGACTTAGGCCAAATCTATTCTGTGAAGACATCTCCCCTCACAGACTTTCCATGCTCACAGGGATGTCTTCCAGGTCCTCTAGCAGGCACGTGTGCCACAGTGGGGTCATCTGCCTAACTGTTCTATTCGACCCCAGCAGTGCAAACATGCTTTTCAGCAATTTCATTGACATATAATTTACAGAACTTAAAACTGACCTGAAAATGTTCTGATCCATACCTTCTTCCTAGGCAAGACCCCCACCCCTACGAAATTAAGACGATCCCCGAGCTCTGGCATCACTAGAAGATACCAGAGTGCACGCCTGATTCCTGCCATGCTGACGATAACCAACAGGGACCAACCCTTTCTTCCAACCGGAAGTGCAGTACCCAGGAGAATCTTCACAGACAGATCCCTGATCTATCTCTCTCACACCCAGGGAAGAACAGAAGTCAGAACAGACGATCTGTGAGTGTCTGCTGCACGAAGAACATGAGGTGCACACACCTCATCCATGTATGGTTTCACCAGTACTTGACCAACTAATGCCTCTGCGTCCCGCGTCTTGTCAATCGTGGCGTAGGTCCGTAAGCAGTGCCGTATTATATCAACATTGGAAGTCTGAAGACCTTCTAACAGCAGGCCTTCCAGGCTCTGCTGTAACATGGCCGTAATGCCAGCTATACGCTGCAAGAACAAAGAGACAAGTCAAGAAAGCTCCAGGGAGAACGGTTTCTAAAAATTCAAATATATATATATATGATATATATATATATGTAAAGCAAACCTCTTATTCTACCAGAATATATGTAAGATTAAAATAGTAACATTTCCTGGAGAGTAGCAACGAATCTCTTCTCCCCACGATTTCTTTGTAAGTAAATCTTTGCTTCATCAAAGGAAAGTTTAGACAGAATTACCGAAGGACAAAAAGTTATTTTCCTCTTAAGCCACAGAGTAAATCGGACAAGGGTGCATTTAAACCCAGTCAAGGGCTTTGGATAAATGAACTCTGACTACATCATATAATGTGTCAAGTTCCATGGAATTCACAGTTAATTTTACTCGTATAGTTTGGAGAATAAGCTTGTGTCTTTACACAAAATCTACATAGTGTGACACGTTGGAAGCAGGGTCCCAAGCAACAGAAACTGAAAGAAAAAATTCAAAGCTAGCTTCAAAATCTTGTAGAGCAGCAATTATCAGGGGCGATGCTGGGTTAAACCAAAATCATCCAGGAAATTCACAAACAGCAAACTGAAAATCTAAATCAACACTTACCGGTCTTACTTTGTCCAGAAGAGGCATGCCTTTGCTCTGAACAGCATGAAACTGTAGCTGGTTAAATTCTGTGGCAATTCTCTCCAAAATCTGTCCAGTCCAAAGTGGGCTAGTAGAGACAATTGTAGAAATGTAGTTCCCGAAGTTGTTTAATTTCTGAGAGACCACATCACCCAGTTAGCAACGGTGAGACTTTAGCGCCCCCTGTGCTGTGACTTTCTTCACTGTTTTTCCAGGGCCCCCCTTACGGAGCTAACGCACCTGCACCCACGGGCCATCAATTTTCAGGACAAGCTATATGTGCAGCAGGTTCCAGGTGCGGGGGGGGGGGGTCGTTCCGTAGAAGCACGGACGCTGCCCGGCCCCAGCCACAGGAGCTGTTCTAGGTCAGTGTGGGTCCAACTGTGTGTTTCCACCACGTTCCTCAGGCTCTCCAATTCGTGACCTTCTTCATCTCTAACCCCCTTCTCTCTCTCTGGCCCTATCCTATCATTCATACATGAATCCTCTTCTTCTCCGCCTGCCTCATTCTCCCTCCCTCTAAAACACCTCTAATTCTTCTAAAGTACCAACCACTGTTTTCTCCTCAATCAAATAAAACTGGCCCTCTAGCAGCAATAAATGAAATACCTCAGAATAGCTGACTTTAAGTTTACATTTACCGAACAGCAGAAGGAGCAAGCTCTATGCTCTGGGTGCTAGTGAGAAAACACTCATTGTGAATCTGCCACCAAGTGTAATGAATGCACTTCCCTCCCGCCCCACAAACACATTATTATAAAGTGTCAACACTGCTCAAAAGGAAGCTAAAGAGGGCACATACTGCATGGAGCACTGGGTGTTATACGCAAACAATGAATCATGGAACACTATATCAAAAACTAATGATGTACTGTATGGGGATTAACATAACATAATTAAAAAAAAAAAAAAGGAAGCTGAGTAGTGAAAGAAAAAAAAAAACTATAAAGCCTCCGAAGCACCTCTGGGCTTTTCTGAGGCACCCTACATCTGATGATGAGCAGTGAGGTAGTGAGGGGAAGACCTGCATCATAAGGAAACACAGAATGTATGGAGCCCAGCGGCGGTGCACCCAGTCCCAAAGCATCCGAACTAGTGTGTAGGGAAAGCAAGCGCCTGGCACGACCGAGCCCGAAGCCTAATCCCTAACTCTACTGACTAACCTCGTGTGCATTTCGTATTGATCCTTACCTCAATGTTTCTTGGCCTGGCAAGCATGATGTATTTACTACGCACTGAGGCCGCTCCGGCTTTTCCTTACTCTAGGGCTCAGAGCTGCTCTTCTCAAGAAAAAAAATCCTCAAAGGTAATTCTGAGCAAGAGCCAGCAGAACGTCTATCAAAGACAGCACTGCAAGGGGACACGGTTATGGGAACAGAGATCACTGAGGTGTTTCTACCAGAGGAGCCCAGCAGGAATGGCAAACATGGGAAGAACACTGGAAGGCAGGCTTCCCAGGGGCCGAACGAGGACATGGCTGGAGGGGTCGTGAGCACTGCCAAGGGCCGTAGCAAAGTGGGGCAGCTGGAAACACACAGGCCCTCCCGGACTGCTCAGAACAGACGCTCACCGAGTCTCTGCCAAGTGTGCGGGACCGGGGGCGGAAGCACTAGTGCAACGGGCTGAAGACACAAACACGGCAGGGACTGACCACTTAGTTACAAGCCTTGATATGAAAGGAGGCAGAGACCTCGGACCCGAGAATCGCTTCCTTTGGGATGTCTCCGTTCTTAATCTACATCATCAGAGGTGTGGAGCCTATGGTCTCTAAAGTCCCTTCCAAATCGAAAACCTTAATTCCTAAAATTAAGAAATGCAACATGCCTTTAAAGGATGACCAAGCCTTTGAACTATGGGCCCATTCAATTTGGATTTGGTTGGTTGGTTTTGCAGCAGTTTATCCAATATTACTCATGGAAAAATATTACAGCTATCAATGTGATTTTAAAAAAAACTCCTGTTAGACCGAAATTTGACCCGTATGAGGGCCTGTGTATGCCAGGTACGGCTGAGCGTATCTCAGTGGTCGAGGCAAGCCTGCAGGTGGAGTGACTGTTAGTTTTACATTATAGAGGACACAGGGCACCAGGCGACCTTGACTCGCGTGGCCCAGCTGCTACATGCAGTACAAGCCTGTGTTCTCCCCACTGCACCACACTGCATCCCACTGGCCTTAACACGATCTAATAACTCATTTTCTGAGTCACTCATCTACCTGGCTGATCGGAAATTCACACCAGGAGGGGAATAAGACAGTCACAGTATAACAAAGAGAGCCATTATCTTTGTCTTATTTTATACGCTTTTTCTTTCCTGTTTATAAATTTCAACTAAATGTGTCCTATACTGTTTCATAATGATATAATGTTGATAATGTTGTAATACTCTGGGCATGTCTACAAAAGAAAATCTAAGAAAGATGAATGGGACACCTTGAAGATGAAGAGGATTTTGCTAGTCCTCAGGGAAGGTGATTCCAAATGTAAAAATTTTCCACTGGAAGCACACTGCCTCTGACCCCCTGAAAGGTGACGGGTTGGGAACTGTGGCCTATAACCAAAGGGTTTATAGGGACATATTATAAACTTTACCATTTTATGCGCTCCACTCTCCTGGAGCTACATTCAAAAACACTAAGGCACAGACCTGGATTTTCTTCTTGTTCAGAAATGAATTCTAACTAAAAAAAAAAAACCCCAAATTAGACTGGATGTCAAGTATTAATTTATGTGCTACTTAGTAAAAAAAAATGCCTTACCTGCTTGCTTCTAGTGCAGAGGTTTCTTTAGAACTTTGAGAATTTAAGATTTTTTCAATTTTTTCAACTGATCGAATAACTTGTATAAGCCTCAACACACACATCTATAAAAATAAAAATTAAGCAAACAAAAAAAGTTACCATCTTTAACCTTAATTATCTTTATTTCCCATGCTAAATGCAGGAAAATATAAAACCAAAAGTCAACTCTGAATATATAGAGCATCCTACATTTTGGATATTTCTACAAAACACGGAATTCTCAAGAATGCAAATCTTAATTCTGGCTTTCTAGAACAGCCTATTTCAATATTCTATTGCAAGTTCATAGAAAAAAAAAAAACCCTAGACTTTTGCTTTCTCATATTATGTACTCTTATTTCTTCTTTTTCCCATCCTGAATCTCTCTATGAGCACTCCATTTCTTTTCTATTTTTTTTTATTTGAGAGAGAGAGTGGGTGTGCACGTGCGGGGCGAGGGGCAGACAGAGAGAGAGAATCTCAAGCAGACATCCTGCTGGGCACAGAGCCCAGTGTGGGGCTCGATCTCACGACCCTGAGATCATGACCTGAGCCGAAATCAAGAGTTGGACATTTAACCAACTGAGCCACCAAGGCACCCCTCCATTTATTTTCATATAGCCCTTTATTCATGTTTTAATTTTAGCTTCTGATCATATTTACCCTCTCAGTTGACTTGTGCATATACCTATATGCAAGCGTCAATTCATTAAAGACCTTTTACGCTACAAATATTACCAAAGAGGTTGAGGGACATTATGAAAACTCTCATCCTTAAAAGTACAAAAACAGACGAAGTCATCCATTCAACAAATAGTTACTGAACACCCCCCAGGAGCTGGACATTCTTCCTGACAGTGGGGACATAAGTGAATAAAACAAGAAAAATGCCCTGCTCTCATGAAGCTTATCATTTTGTCTGGAAAAGCACTACATGAGTTCTTTGGACAAAAGCTGAGAGGAGTCTAAAGGAGAATTAAACAGAAGGTCTCTCAAATAGGCTTCTCCCCCTTGAGATTTTAACAAATATGCTAATAAATACACATAGAAAACACTGTACAGAGCAGCAGGCTAGAGTTAGAAGTCTGGGATCCCAATGCCCACTGTGCCCTTACATCATTATGATCATGAATAAAATCGGGGACATGTTAAATAGGCGACGGGCACTAAGGAGCACGCTCCTGGGGGTGAGCACCATGGATGTACGGAGCTGTGCCTGTCTTGCACACCTAAAACTAACACAGCACAAACTAACACACCTGAAACTAACACAACTAAGGAATTAAAAAAAATAAAAGAAAAGTTAACACCAGAACATAAAGAAAACAAAATCAGAAAATAAAATTAAAACCCAGGACCACTAAACAATAAAGGCAATGCATGCAGAGGTATATGTAAAGGAGGGAAACAAAAGAAGAAACAAACATGGCAGAATGAGAGAGCAACATACTGCTTTTTCTAAAACAACAAACCTGCAGAATACTGAGTTTACTTTAGAAAGCCCACTTCTATCCTACTCTCTAAAACAGGCATATTTTCTTTACAGGGGCGCTGAAAATTTATATGGTGGTTAAATTGTCAAATGCTTCACCGACAACAGTTATTACTGTTTCTTGTTCTGGAAAAAGTGAGTGATCTTGAGACCACGTGGGTAACTCTAAAATTCTTATTATTTCAAGAAGATAATGTGACATTATAATGCGTACAACGCACATGCACAAGAGCTTTGAAAAAAAGTTGAATAGTGTTGACAAGTATGAGGAGACGAGAGGCATGCAGCGTAAGAAATCTACTGGAGGATACCTTTTTCTTCCTTATGTCCTCTTGTTTACACATTCGTTCATCTACTGCCCGAATTCCTTCACTGACAGACGACCTGAGACTCTTTAAAAGAATAAAGCAAATGAATTGTAGAAATTGTTTTGTCACATTATCAAGTTTATAAATCTCATTCAGTTCCACAGAACTTAATACCTGCACACCAGTACCATGCACATATTGACAAAAATACGAAATACCAGACAATCGCTATTGAGGGTACTCATGATTTGGGGGCAAAATGACACAAAGTCAGGGTCGCACGGGCAGAAGAAGAATAATACATATAGAGTGAAAGTCATAGAGGGGTCAGGGCGGAGAATGGATAATCTGAAGCAAGGTACAGGAGAGTCTCGAAATGGGATGGGGCTCGAAGTGGACTCTGAAAGCCTGTTTGCTGCCGAGGTCAGGAGGGGAAGTTGAGAAGATGGAAGTGCACACGCAACTCAGGGTCAGGGTCGGACAGGCACACAGCCATGTGCACTGCAGGCTTCCTTCTGGAGAGAAGTACAAATAGGAAGGGAGGATCAACTTAGGAGGACTTCACTCAGATGAGGTCTTTAGATTCTGCACATTTTGGAGAACTAAAGAATGTTGAAGCACTGATGCATCATGACGAAATGTTGTTTTGGAAATAATAGGAATCAAAAAATAAGAACAGAAGGCCAGAAAAAGGAAGAAAGCGCATAGGTGGAGAAACATGTCCAGAAGCTAATGAATGAAGGCAAGTACAAATAATTAGGACTTAGGGCCAAAACAAAGGTTAATGGAAACAACTAGAATAAAGTGGACATATCACAAAAATTCTACAGGAAGGTGAATTAATTCATTCCATCAACATTATGAAATACCTCCTGGACGTCAGTATTGTGGGAGCCCATGGGGATACAATGAAGAAGAGAGAAACAGTCGTATCCCTCAGTGGTCTTAGAATCTCAGAGTAGCTTCATGAGTTGGGACCAGAAAGGCAGGTCAGGCCTGTGGCTATAAAGACAGGCCGTGGAAAAGGGAAGGGATACGGTGCTGGCAGGGGGCGAGGCTGGAGGGGAGCCTGTGCGAGCCGCGCAGCAGTCAGCAGAGCAAATCTGCCTCTAGGAAGGGGGTTTCGAGAGGCCAAAGGAAGGCTGGGCTCAGGAAACAGCACCGCCACAAGGCTGCGGGAGGAAGAGGCACACCAAGAAGGAGGCGGGAGAGCCACACAGCGGCTGGTGTGGAATCCAACAGCGGACCACAAAAATCACCCTTCTGTCCCAAGGACAAGTACCTTAACAAGATTTTGTAAAATTCAAACAAGACATAAACAATGGCAAGTACTGGCTGGCTCAAGGCACAGCTCAAGATTTACCTCTTTCACAAATTCTTTCCTGCCCACCCCTCCCATGGGCTTCTCAGCACCGACATTTCTGTTACTCTGCATTTTCTCGGCTCTAACCACGCACGGTGTCTTCCCTTAAATTATCTTCCACTTATATTCTCTCCTTAGGTTGCAGGCACTGTCTTAGGGGCTAGATGCACAAGGCCACTCAAGCTAGAGGAGACACACAAGGAAGGATGGTGTCGTGCACCAAGTTTACGACAGTGCATCAGAACGGACGGCGGCTGAAAGTCAGGGCACCAGACACGGATGGGGGGAGGTGGGGAGGACAGGGTAGCACAGTTTTCTGTTGGAAGTGATGCCAAAACTCCCCCTCCACTGTTCAGCCAGGCGGAGTTCCTATTCCCAATGGCTTAGAGGTGGGGAGTCTCATTCCCACAGCAGAGATTTTCTGAGCAAAACATTAAAATGTAATATTTATTAGGTATTACATTATATTTATATTATCCTTCAGCTACATTAGGCATTACATAGCTTTCGTATACCAGTCTAGGAACCTAACCGCATGTAAATTACCCGGGGGGAGGGGCGGGGAGGGGGAGGGAGTGGGAGGGGAATACTTACAAGATTAAAAATTGTTAAAATACAAGTCATTCATAAGTTGGAAACCACTTACATATGAGCAAAGTGGCATAATAAGCTGAATTTGGAAATACGCTTCCTCTCCCCTGACATTTTAAGGCTGTCTACTCTGAGAATCTCTCTTCTTCAAATCGAACATATTTTTCAGGTTGTAATAGCATATGCAAAAATAGAAAATCATTTACAACTTTTCTGAAGGTGAATACTATAATTATGAACCATTAAAAAACAACCACCACCACCACCAACCTAACAGATGAAAGGAATTCTTGGAGAAAAGCCAACAAGGCCAACATGTTTCACAGTAGATTGTTTTATATCATTTGGGGACTTACCAGAACTTCTTCCCGTAACTGTCCCAAAGGCACAGAAAGCTGATTGAGGGCTTTGTCCATGCCGACCTAAAGGCAAAATCAGGTTGGCACAAACACATCACAATCAGGAGCAATAGTGACGTATCTGTTTAATGATCAAAGCAGTACCAGGCTTAAGTTATTTTTTTGGTACAACCATATTTTGCTAAGTAACTAGCTAAACAACAGAAATGTTATTTTGCCATTAATGTTGCTCACAGAATATGAAAAAAATCGGTTGATATACATGAAACTATAAAAATAAGGGAAGTCATGATAAATGAAAGCCTCCTTAGGAACAATTTGCCTTTAGATGACATTTTAAATGAATGTGAAAAATTTTCACGGAAGGTGAACAGCTCTCTGTCTGTAATTTATGGTACTCAGGCAGCTGATGCGAAAGTCTGATGGGCTATGTCTCTCCTAAACATTATTATAACCCTTGAGAAAAATTCAAATTAAATAGAACAGAAATAAAATTTTCTAGGTTTCTAATCCTACTGGAACTTTTATCTTAGTGGTATATTTCCCCAAAGCAACTATACCTCATTAATTTTAATGCTTCTTGAAATTCCCATGGAGCTGCTACTTTCTGTGCTTCTCTGGACAGATTTAAAACAAAATGAAACATCAACAAGGAGACTTTTCTGCCAGGTAGTAAAACTCAACATTTCTAAACAGTTTTTATAAACAACTGATATGCTCATTACAAATCATTCTTACGTTTTTATAAAACCAAACCTTCTAAATACCAATATCGGCCAATTTTCCCTCAACCTAGCTCTGGCTAATACATATACCTGGGAGTAAATTAAACATTTCTTTAAGAGTAGTTGATATTTGCTCCTGCAAATTAGTCTAAACCAAGGAAGACTTCAGGGTAATCACTTAGCAACTAACAAAACAACCACTCACTTATTATTATCCTTTACTTCTCACTATTGACTTAAGAATTCAAAACATAATTAAGCTAAAGCAGCCTTAAATGAATAAAAACTAAAACCAAAAAAATGTATTCTAAAAAGTTTAGTTATTTTATTAATGAGATTGGCAATCTCTTCAAGCTTCTGGCGGCGGGGGGGGATCAACTGAAAGGTTTCTAAAAACACTCTGCACTTTAAATAAGTATGAATGAGAAAGTGTGTCTTGTGTGTGTAGGACTTGTGAATTTCAGGTTTACCAAGTTTGTGGAAAGGTTGACAAAATCTGCATAATCCTTGTTGATGAGCTCGACCATGGCTGTTTTAAGAAGTTTATAGTAGAGTTCCAGATCTCCTCTCAGTTCCTCCAGCTGGACACGCTTCCTACAGTCAGACACAAAATGATCGACATCGAAATCTTCCTGAAAATCAAACCAGAAAAAAAAAAAATGATTGCACTGATATCACATTTCCCATATAAAAATAAAATCAGAGAAAGAATAAGAGAGAAATGCCATTCCATTCATTTAAGAAGCTATATTACTGCAGGGGAAAAGTACCTCTGAGTACACACAGGGACATCAGGGGGTCTGCTCACTTCATAAGGGTGCAGGAAATGGGACCCCTAACCAAAAGCCTTCTCTCCTGTTGCCTAAATTCTACAAGGCGTTTTATTTTTTCTTAATTATACGTTTCAAACAGGCTCTTCTCAAAACAGAAACAGCTTTTTCTTAATTTTAAAAGTAACAAATGTTCAGTGTCAAACTTTCAACCAACAAAGAATTAATTATATAAAAGAGAGTAAAAAAAAAATCACCCACTCTCTGATGGTCTACAGTTAAGCACTATTAATGTTTTTTTCCCACTATTTAACATTGTGATTCACATCCTTCCAGACTTTGTTTTGGTTTTTCTCTTTATTTTTTATTTTTATTTTTTAAAGATTTTATTTTTTTGAGAGGGAGGGTGGGGGGAGAGAGACAAGAGATTGAGAGAACAAGTGGGAGAAGGGGCAGAGGGAGAAGCAGATTCCCCGCTGAGTCCAGAGCCCAATACAGGGCTTGATCCCAGGACCCTGAAATCATGACCTTAACCGAAGACAGACACTTAACCGACTGGGCCACCCAGGTGCCCTGGTCTTTCTCTTTAAAATATAAATTACTTTTTAAAAAATTGAGATACAATGGACACATGTTAGTTTCAGGTGTACAACATAACAATTCCATATTTTTATCTATTGTGAAATCATCACCGTAAGACTAGTTAACATCCATCACCACACACATTTTTGTTTTTATGCTAAGAACTCTTTATAAGTTTTAGCAACTTTCAAATATACAATAATATACAGTGTTATTTGCTACAGTCACCATGATGTACATTACATCCCCAGAACTTATCTTATTAACTGGAAGTTTATACCATTTGACCCCTTCATCCATTCCCTCCACACCCCCACCGCCTCTAGCAACCACCAATCTGTTCTCCATGACTTCATTTTGTTTTGTTTTACAGATTCCACATAGAAGGGAGATCATACAGTATTTGTCTTTCTCTGTCTGATTTATTTCACTTAGCTATATAATATCCTCAAGGTCCATCCATGTTGTTATAAATGGCAAGACTTCCTTTTTATGGTTGAATAATACTCCATTGTATACACACATGACATTTTCTTTATCCATCGACCCATCGGTGGACACTTAAGTTATTTCCAAGTCTTGGCTGTTGTAAATACTGCAATACTCACTACTCTGAATATAACTCTTGCTGGCCACTGGAGCCAAGTGATCTAGAAGTACTCCCTAGGTAGCAAATGCAAAACTTGGGACATCATATGAGCATACAAGCTCCTTTCCAGGAGATACCAGCGAGCAGGAGCGAGGGAGAGGGACAGTGCAAAGACGGCACCTGCCGGCTCCATCTTTGGAGAATACCTTACTAGGCCCCCAGATGCATGTTAAATTAGATACCTGTCCCTCAGGGCTTTGAGATAAGCAAATGAGCCTCTTTTACAGAAAGGCTGAACGCTGCTTCTGTGCTGAGTTCTGAGGTGGTTGAGTCCACTCACGCAACTGCTTTAAGAACTGTTTCTCGGTTCGCTATAGCCTTGTGGGTCTCATGCATGCAAGCCCTGATGGCTGTCAAAGCTAGATGTTGTGGGGTCTTGTCTCTCAGATGCAGGTCTTAAAAGTTGGGGCATCAGATGTGGGGTTCAAACCCTTTGCTCCTCAGGGAGAAGCTTGGGGTTGTGAGTACCCTCCCAATCGTGGGTCGCTGTGCCAGGGGTGGGGTTTATGGCAAGATTGAATCTCACTTCAATGTAGGTTTTTTTCTTATTCACCTAATGTGTAGGACTCACTCAGCTAGTTTGAGGGTTTTTTTCCAGAGGAAATTTTTCCATATGGAGTTATAGATTCAGTGTATCCGTCGGAAGAGATGAGTTCAAGATCCTCCTACACCACCATCTTGAACGGAAACCCCAGACCTTCTCTATGTGTGTACACACACGTATGTACACACACACACACACACACACACACAGAAGCTTAATACTCATGCTCTTCTAAACTGCTATTTTCCATCTAAAAATACAACTTCAATGTCTTTTCATAAAACACATTTCTATTAGTATTTTATGTGGATGTTGAGTGTTCCATTCAGCAGATGTTCCAAATCTTGCATAATCAATTTCCAAGTATTGGTCTCACAGGATTAGCTATGCTCTGTTTCCCCTCTGTAACACTGTGATGCCCCTGGTAGGCTAATATGCTTAGAGGCAGCAAATTACTATCTACTTCACCCATGACTTTGCTACTCATTGAGCTGTTTAGTCGGCAAGAATCAGACGTGATGATTCCCAAACTAATTAAGGCCACCTTACACTTACTTCATAATTATATAATTTTATTAAACACTATGTAAACCAACAAAATATGAGTGCAAAAAGATCACTGTTCTTATGAAAACTAAGGCAGGTACTTTGGAAAGACCTGATACAAAGAAATCAATAAGAAAATTTGTGCTAAATTAGGTATGGGTGAGATGACCATGTACCAGGTAGGGAGGGGGTGATCACAGGATTCTCATTCAATTCAGTTAAAGAAACTGAAACTGAATGCAAAAAAGACAACATAGAAATCTTTTTCTTAAAGTCTGTATTTATTTATTTGAGACAGCGAGAGAGAGCATGAGCAGGGGCAGAAGGAGAGGGAGAAGCAGACCCTGCTGAGCAGGGAGCCTGATGTGGGACTTGATCCCTGAACCCTGAGATCATGACCTGAGCTGAACGCAGATGCTTAACCGACTGAGCCATCCAGGCGCCCCAACAACTTAGAAATCTAATCAGCAGACCAGCTGTCAGAGAATAGAGCCTGGCACTACTTCAACGGAAAATAAACATACGTGTGTATATATATATATATACTTTTTTTTCAAATAAAATGCTAAGAACTATATGCACCATTCCTTAAAGAATACTTGTTTAAACTGACTTTCTTAGTTAATCAACCAAACACCGACCCTGATAGTGTCAGAGAAGAGGACTTCATACTAAACCATAATTTCACAGTCATCTACTGAAAACCACCTGCTCTTAAACTGGGGCCAGAATTAGCCTGGACTTTTGTCTCCTGAAACCATCTCAGACAACACCTTACATCATAGTTATGTAGCACATTAGAGAAAGAACATGGGAGCAGGACTCAGCTCATAATCCTGGCCGTGCTACTCACCAGCTGTATGCCTTTAGGTTGATCACTCTGCCAGCCTCAGTTATATATTCCTTGAAGTTCTGAACTTCATGATGGCATTCTAAATTGTGTAACTCAGCCCTACTGAACAAATGCTATTAGGTAATATATATTCAACTTACCATTTATGTATTTGTTCTCAGATAAACAAATGCTGCATAACACAAGACTAAATAACTCGGAACATCTGTGAATACTGGGTTAAGGCAGCTTTTGCTATGACAACAAGCAAGCCCAAATTCACAGTGCCATAATACAGACACATCTCACTTACCAGGAATGGTTTTACCACAGTGTAGATTTACCAAGTAATTAAAAAGAAAGTATTTACAACCCATACGTTTATGGTCAATTGATTTTTCACAAGGATGCCAAGACCATTTAATGGGGGCAAAAAAAAACAGTCTTTTCAAGTGCCTCCTACTGGGACAAGTGAATATCTATATGCAAAAGAATGAATTTGGAACACCAACTTCAGACACACACACACACAAAAATCTAACTCAAAATGGATCAAAGATTTAAATATGAGAGTAAAAACTGTAACACTCTTAGAGAAAACGGGTGAAAGTCTGTGTGACTTTGGGTTGGGCAAAGCTTTCTTAGATATGATACAAAAAGCATTAAGAAATAATAGATAAACTGAACTTGATCAAAATAAAAACTTGTGTGTGTCAAAGGTCAGTACTGAGAAAATGAAAAGACAACTCACAGAATGGGAGAAAGTGTCTGCAGATCGTCTATCTGACAAGGATCAAATAACCAGAAAATGCAAAGAACTCTTACAACTCAACAATAAAAAGACAAATAACCTAATTCAAAAACAAGCAAAAGACTTTTGAAGAGACATTTCTCCAAAGAAGATACACAGATGGTCAACAGCACATGTAAAGATGTTCAACATCATTAGTCACTAGCGAAATGCGAAATCAAAACCACACTGAGATACCACTTCACACCCACTAGGATGGCTACAGTAAAATAAGAAAAAGAAAAAAAAAAAGATGATAAGTGCTGGCAAGAAGGCAGAGAAGCTGGAACCCTCCTATACTGCCGGTGAGAACGTAAAATGGTGCAGCTAATGCGGAACACAGTTCGGCCGCTCCTCAAAAAGTTCCACATACAATTACCCAGCAATTCTACATCTAGCGGTATACCTGATAGAACTAACAACAGATGTTCACACCATGACCTGTACATGAATATTCACAGCAGCATTGTTCATAACAGCCAAAAAGTATAAACCCAACGTCCATCAACTGATGAATGGATGCTTAAAATGTGGAAGAGCCTCTTACACAGCCATAAAAAGGAATAAAGTACTGTTACATGCTACAACATGAGTGAACTCTGAAAACATTCTACTCTAAGATTAAAGGAAGCCAGAAGCAAAAGGTCATGTATTATATGATTCCATTTACATGGTATGTTCCAGAATAGGCAAATCCATAAAAACAGAAAGTAGATTCATGACTGCCAGAGAATAAGGGGAGGGGGGAGAACTGGAACTAACAGGTTGTGATGGAAGTGTTCTGGAATTAGACAGTGGTGACATATGCACCACATACATAGTAAATATACTAAAAACCAGTGAAGAATACACTTTAAAATGGTAAATGTTATGCTTTTGAGTTTTATCTCAATGAAAAATGAAACAACTTAAATA